GATCGCTTCGAACTAGTACTACAGCATGGACATGTGCGGTAATACATTCATGATCATCTGTGAATTGTAATTTCCGTGTGTCACGTGTTCGCGCATTCACCTATCACATACATTTCCTTGGTTAATTTGCATATATGTATGTACAACAGATGCCTGTATACTAACTCGTCCAATATTTACCATCTGAGGTAACTACAATGCATTAAATACATTACAAGAGTAAACACAAATATGAATTACATTGCACAGTTGATAAAATATTTCACTCAATTAAAAAAAAAACGCCCAACACATTACTTAAGCGAGCATTCATGATTAATTAAAAATTAAAAACTAAATGGTACACATAAGTAGGAACATTACTATTAGACATTAATGAAACACAACTATTACATACTTAGTGACATACTTAGTCCAAAACAGATGAAATATACTGATTATGTTTATTACAAAATAGAAAAATGAAATTCATAATGATACTCGTACTCGCAAAGCAAATAATGAAGAAAAGAAAAATAAACTGAGAAAATATCGAAGGTTTGAATATGATTTTGGATTAGAAGTTAAACACAACTCAAAAATTCAAATTGACGTGCAACAATGACAAAGTTTAGATTAAGTGATCACAGTCTCAAAATTGAAACCGGGAGACACACAAAAAAAAAACAATAACCAATAATAGAACCTGTGATGTTTGTAAAAACACTGAAGATGAAAAAAAACACTTTTTGGCGGCATGTAATAAATATGATGGACAAAAAAAAAATATTATTCAACGAAGCCGAAAAATGCATAAAAAACTTCCATATTAAAAAAAAAACAATCACCGAAATAATGTGCAGCAGCAAATTAATAATTTAATTGGCACAACATATAAAACAAACTGCATGGACTTAAGAGAGCAACACCTGTCGACTTAATTGCTATTATTGTAGTATGCACCTTACTTTATATTTGTAGTTTATATTTATTTTCTTATTTTTTTCCTTCTTTCATTGTTGTTATCATTATTAGTTTATTTAGTTTTTAGTTATTTCACCTTTATATCCATTCCCACTCCCCCGAGAAGTGTGTATGATGTATTTATTGGAGTTCAAGTTTGTTGTACCCTTCACATTATATAAATTTGTGTGATGATCACAAACGACGAAGATGCCATCAGACGCTCACGGCGAATTACCGCATGCCCGTACCACTGTATCATTTTAAAAGTGTGTCGGACTGTTAATATATTATCGCCCACGATTATAAAATATTTATAACTATTACAGGTATTGATCTATTTCCTAATATATATATAACACTTATTTACATTTTACACAGTTATGATTAAGCCCGGTAAGTATACAATATTTAAGTGTTTTTCATTTTGCAAACAACTTACATAAATTTTATTACGTCTTTGTGCCTATGACTTCGTCGTGGGGCTGAGGCTTATGTCCGTGTCCTCTCACAGAGGCCGAGCACGTCATGATAAACTGAACAAATGTTGTTGAAATGCTCCAAATCAAAGGGCGCCCTCAGTGTGTGAGATGTGAGATGCGCGTTGACTAAACACCGGAAACGAAATGTTCTAGTTACGTGGGCATTAGTCACCTCTTACAGCAGTGTTGAGCGGTTGTAATTCTACTCTTCATCTCATGGACTATTCCAAACCAGTTCCGAATAACTTCCAGATTCAATGTCTCCAGGATCGTTTGCCGTTAAGGAGTCATTCGGATATACAAGTGTACCGTCGCAACAGCTGGTTTGTAATACAGTACATACACTGGCGAGTTCTTCTCGCTAGCTGTTCCGTATTACTGTCAGTACGTATATATACCATCAACTTCAGTAACTTTACAACAAAAATAATTAAAATGAACTGTAATAAATTATTTGTTTGACCGAGTAGTGGGGCATGGAACTTAAAACCGTGTATTTTTAACGTTTCGTATCAACAGCCTCCGTGGCCTAATGGATAAGGCATCGGCCTCCTAAGCCGGGGATTGCGGGTTCGAGTCCCGTCGGAGGTGACTTTTTGTGTTTCTTCTACTTTTTTTGTTCTTGACAATAATTTTAACACAAACACAGTGTATGTGCCATCGTATCTATATTTTTCATTCCTTTGTTTTAATCATTGAATGTTACCTTGTATTTTATAATACTATTAGAATAGACAAATTTTGTGTCCCTGATTGCCACGTTACTGAGATCGGTCGCAA